CCATTTTTTATTCCATCCGTAACAAAGTTAGTAAATGCGCATAAATTGGTAATGGTAGATTTATTACGAATAAAGCCACGCTGTTGGTCGATTATTACTGAGTCCACGTGATTGTATACTCGAGCTAGTAAGACTGTTATGGGTCTGTAGTTTCTTATATTGTTCTTATTGCCGCTTTTGTGTATGGGGGCAACTCCGCCAATTTTGAGAAAGCTTGGAAAACGATTTTCTTTCAGAGAAAGATTGATTATCAATAGGTTTATTTCTGTTCGTTTTCGTCAGGTTGGCGACTACCAGAAATCACATGGAGGACATTTCATATATTTATTTAGATCATCCAGTTCAAAATTTAATTGAGTAATAATAATAATAGCAGTGACGGCTCCTGCATTAGAGAACAGGGGAGGCTTAAGTCATATAGACTATATACACACAGAAAAGCCCGCCGGAGGCGCAAAAATTTGTATGTTATTGCACGCTTTGTTTAATACTAAAGCTAGGGTATGGGCATGACAATGCGTAAAAAGTGCATGAGGAGCTATCGACTTTATTTTAGTTTGTAAACCATTTAAATGGCCGGCCATGACCGCAGCCCCATCATAGGTTTGCCTAAAATTATAGGTGTCACACGTACGAATTAAAAAATTAAACAAATCGTCAGCTGTGCGCCCAGATGAAACATCATGAGAACTCATAAAACGTTATACCATATTACCATCTTTGACATATCTAAAAACGATTGAAAGTTGTGATGTACAGGTAATATCGGTAGTTTCATCAATTTCCCATGCAAAAAAAGAAACACTTTCAATCTCCTTGCTTATATTTTCCTCAATAATGTATGCCACAGTCTTTAATAAGCTCATTTTGGATGGTTTTTGAGGTGCCCGAAAAAACGCTACCGTTTAAAAAAGTGCCAAATTGTGAATCATATTTGCCCCATTACACGAGGTAAATTTTTCAAATCGGAGTATCCTATTCTAGACAACGTTTGGTATTCGGTTTGTACGGAAAATAAAACACAGGGCCAACAAAAAAGTTTTTCTCATTCCGGTTAACCAATCGCATTTATCGTACCAATTAATATTAAATCCACGATTTTGTCGATTATCTGACGATTTAATTGAAATCAAATTTGGTTGAGGCCTTCCCAGAGTTTCAATAATGTAAAATTTATTATCATAAGATAAAGACTTAAAATTATTTGTCAGCAACCAATCGACTATATCGTCAGATTTTTTAATTTCGTCCAACTTATCCATAATAAATGAAAAAAAAAACTTACCGAAAAGTGCAAACCTGAAAACATCTTGAAATTGAAAGAAAACACTTTAAAAACACATTGAAAATATTACCAAAAAGCACTGCTATAATATAATACTGCCTGTTTTATACACAAATAACAAATATTATCAAGAAACACTAAACACTAATCAAGAAACTGTGATTACCCTGATCTGCTATGCAGATTTGAATAATCTGAAAGTGTCGAGTTTGTACATTCTATGCAGTTCTTGCTCAGCAATTGAACTGGAAATATTGTGCTTTTCGATGTGTGTATATTGCTTCACAAGCAGTTGCTAAATATGCTTCTGTGTCGGACAATTTGTAAATGAATGCAGTGAAATAACTACTTATCTGTCCTTCTCAACTAACCACTGTTACGCCACTGTCTCTGATAAACAAGTGTTTGTATAAGTGCGTGTATAATATGTTCCAGCCAAAACAAGAACAGAAAAGCCTATTCTATTGTTTTGAGTTCTGCCCTAAACCTGGATCAATTTTTTTCTACAAGAAAACAGAACAGAACAGAAACAAGAACAGAAAAGCCTATTCTATCGTTTTGAGTTCTGCCCTAAACCTGGATCAATTTTTTTCTACGCCATTGCTGATAATTCCTCAGTAGCTATCTATAATTTTTGTTGATTTACTCATTCCATCGACGGAAGATTATCGTAAGTTAACCGATTCATTTCCTTCAAGTAATGTCCTTTATGTGCAACGGCATTTGCATACATTTCAACTGTTAATCGTTGCTGTTTACTGCTCGATTGCCTTGACCATTCGGCTAGAGTGGAATTTTAATGGACGATTTGGAGAATGAAGACAAACTTATGAATGATGAGTGCTTTCACGTGGTCGTCATAAATATGTTATTGTCAGAGACAATGATAAATGGCAAAAAGTAATGAAATCATCATAATTGCAGAAAAATCAAGGGCGGATACAAGGGGGAATGAGGGCAATGACCTACAACCTTTGTCCTGAATTCGATACTAAATATATGATGGAATCGGCCGATACTTAATGAAAATCCATAACTAACGTATTCTAAATACACTTTATTGTGTGATTTTCACTAGACAGTTTTACAAAAACTGTCGAGTGAAAATCACACAATAAAGTGTTTTTAGAATACGTTCGATACTAAATGATAAATAACTATATCAAACCTTTCGGGTTATTTTACTGATTGGAAGGTAAAGAAGTTGGAAGCTAAGGTATGAAAACATTATAATGGCGATCACAGATGTGTTGAATACCTATAAAATTACTAGATGCAATTGATGCAAATGACCCGATCAAAAAAGACAAAAAAGTGATCAAATAGCAAGAACTCCGAAAGAGCTGAATTTTGGTAGAGACTATGGGTACACCAAAAGAAATGGAGAACCAAAAGTCCTCATAGATCCCAAGTGTGCCAAAGAAATTTTTGTTTTTAGTTTTTTGGATATGTCTCGAAAACGGTGAGTTTTATCAAAAAATCAGTCTGAATAAAAATTGGAGATCATGAATTTATATCCAAAAATTGTTCTCACTTTTTTCCTTTAGAATTACCATTCCTAAGATATATGCGTCCTAAAAGTTGAAGGATTTACAGTCTACATGATATGCATATTAATGCGACGTATATAGATAGTCAGGCACCTAATGTAAATGAAAATGATATTCCCATATTGATTTCAATTTAACAGCCACCCTACTGGGCATTGTCAGTATTGGGCAGGCGGTGTTCGATTGAAGACAAAATGTAATCGACGTAATCCATCTTGATTTCCTGCAGGTTGAAGCCTGGCTCCCTTCCCCTTTCAACTGGTGTTTGTCAGAAAGACAAACGGGCTATGACTGGTGTTTATTGGTGGCATGAAAGTCCTGAGACATCCATACCGCCCTTCGCTGTATACCCCTACCTGGCTGGGGTGAGATGGATGAAGATATTATTCATCCGTTAACTGAGGACATAGGGGCCTCATGCGACAGAGTGTCGGGGCCTTCTATATCGGGAGGGGTCGTCTACAGCGTAATCTATAGCTTCCCTGACTAAAAAGACAAAATGTGAATAACCAAGAGAAGACTTGATGAAAATAACTGCGTGAACGCAAGCGAGACATAAGTGGAACCACCTATTGGTGTGACACCCAAGTCAACTTGCCAAGTTTTTATGTCAGTGTTGGTGGTTTGACCAATCAACCGACAACTGCGGTAGCAGGAATTTGGGAAGCTAACCTGGAATGCCATCGGAAAACGAATCCACATGTTTCTATAAATGATATGAAGTCGAGAAAGGTTAATGCAGTCAAGCTGTTGGAAAATAATTCCATGAAAATCAAAAGATACATAGATAAGTACTATTCTGATCACTCCCATATTGATTTCAATCTAAGAGCCACCGGTAGACAGCTGTTTCAGCCTGTTGGCTCTTAAATTAAAATCAATATGAAAATGATCAGAATAGTCCTTCCTATCAATTGATTGCGCTGAAGTATTTGAAAAAATTTACTCTTTTCCTCAAATGATAATCACAAAAGGAATTCGTTTTCTCCGTGCTGTTTATGGAGCTTCAAAAATAATTATTTGATTCCAACATTGGCTTTTGCTCATCAACACTTGTATAGAGTGAATTATCAAATTCAGACATGACTAGGCAATCTATTAAAAAAATCTGTTGAAATCTGTGCTAAATGTGTCTGTAGAAGAGTAAGATTGCTGTGTGCAACGGTGTGCTAATTGTTGGGGTTAGTTTCACTCGAATGTATGAACAGCCAGGAAGAAGACGAAGAAAAAATCGAAGAAGACATGACTGTTGGAGTCGAATTTGATAAGTATGTATCAGACTAAAATATTAACAGAAATCANTACGCTATTTGTTTTTTTTTATCTGGCGGCACTTTATTGTTGAAATCATTAAAAAAACATTCTCATGGCTATATCTGTTGATATACGGTGTTTTTGTAACTGTTAGCTATGTGAGTTTTCGAATTTTTGAGTTGTCATAACTTTGTTGATAATTTTTCATGAAATTTTGGTCACACCTGTTTAGAGGCACTCTGATTCCAGTGGCGTAGTGAGTTTTTCAATAAAAAATCGCTAATAAAAAATTCCGATTTTCGACTAAGAAAAAATTTCGTAGTATGCCCTGAAACTTTATTAAACATTTCAAATTTTGTCCCAAGGTAGACCTTTTAGTACTTGACATTTCAAAAAAAATTATTAAATTCGGTTAACAACTTCAAATTTTAGGGGGGTGTTTCCATTAAAAATGGGGCACACTGTATAGTCAAAAATCAATTTTTCTTGATTTTGAAAGTTTAACAGATTATTTTCTTTGACCAAGGAGAAAAAGAGAGCCAAATAGCTTTTTTTTCCAAAACCTCTCAAAAAAATATATCCCTTTCGGTTTATTTAGGAAATACTATCAATATACGAAAGAAAAAGCACATGATGAAGCTCAATAAGGGAACTGTGTCTCAGGAACAATAAAAAGTAAATGACTGTTGCCGACCAAACTGTGAGACCTAGACGGTCTCTGGGAAAAATCCCGTTGAACTTTTTGTCCATTCAAATCTTACCAATAATCGCTCTTCCTTCGGCTTCTGCTTCTTCTGAAAACCTTCTGCACAGGTACGCTGAGTCTTCTTATGTTTACGCGCAGAATAGGTTTGTAATATCGTTGTATTACTTCAGATTTACTATCGATGATTGCACCATCCATGGTTTCCTTCGATGTTTCTACTTGCGCGGACGAAAAACACTTGAAAACTCATTCAATATTTTGCTTTATTCATTATCAAGTACATGCAGATTGTGCATGATAATTTTTTTAAATATAGTAAATATTGATAACCTACAAAATTCCTATTGTTTGGTATAATTCTGTTGTTTACTTTATGCTTTTTCATTCAAAATGAATTTGTGGAGGTCAAGCAACGAGAAAAGTGAGCCTAGTTAATGTGGAGATGACATTTTTGATAAAAAACGAGCATTCATAATGACAATAACAGGTGGGGGTGGAAAGTTCGTAGTAGTAGCGCCATCTGTGTGCTAGACTACGAACTTTTTGGCCCACCTACTATAATGAGGCATCAGTTGTACTAGAAGAAAAAACAACCAAACAATTCTATCCTACGGAAGCGCAGAATGGCCACATATTTTTATAATTTGTTTCTTGGAAATTACGACTTTCAATCTCGAAATTTTGACTTTCATCTCAAAATTTTAGAGAAGCGCAGAAGGGATTTAAAGTCGAAATTTCGAGATTCAAAGTCGTAATTTCCAAGAAACAAATAATAAAAATATGTGGCCCTTCTGCACTTCCGTACTATCCCATTATTTTTATCATGAAGTCTTTTCAATGTTGGCTAGTTTCAAAACGACAATACTCCGAGAAGGTAAACTGTAAGTCCGTTTAGGGCTATTAAGATCAAAGTACGTATCAGTACAAAAAAACGAATGAGGTGAGATAATTATTCAAACCACTGTATGAAAATATGTTACGGGCATAGAATGTACATTTGGAAATTTCGTCCACAACAGCAGTTGGAATCTTCAGTGGCGATATAGTAGTGTCGACGAACTACCTAAGCAATGGAATGGAGTTTGCGGATGGATTCTAAAGTTTTTAATGAAGCACTATTTCTGGAACAGATGATAGGCCATAATTCCGCTGTTTTGATAAGGGAAATATTGGAATTTCGACAACAATGCTGCCGAGTAACAATTCTGAAATTAAGTTCACGTTGATGGACTATTTTATTAGTCACCTCACAACTGGTTTCACTTTGCTGGACTATTAGCCATTTCACAATTATATTCACGTCGCCGGATTATCAACCAGTTGCATTCCATTTTTTAGCCAATTATTAAATTATTTTTACGACATCGGAACATTACCCACTCTCAAATCATTTTTTGAAAAATGCCTCCGAAGTAACAATAGTAATGCCTCCGAAGTAACAATTATGATTCATTCGGAATGGAATCAGAGTTTGTGGAGTGTCCTTACAAACAAATTTAAAATGAAGCTCGAAAATGAAAGAAAGTAACCCATCACCATTTATTTCACAGGAATATATTGGAAGATGAATAGGAAACAGTTGTTGAAAGACAATCTCTGGAAAAATTTCGAAAATTTCTATTTTTTACTGCACTCTCAAGCGTATACATTTCTCAAAAATGCTAGGTATCGATTTTTGCAACACATATTGAACTTTGATGATTTAAAATTGCGAAACTAACAACAACGATCAGGAGCAATTACTTGAAATGAAAATGTGGGCGTAGAATGAAATTTGTTTATCAGATATTGCATAAGTCGGCAGCTGAAACGTATCAAATAGGTATCCCTCTACCGATAATGATTACACAAAAGCCACAGATTAGTATAGTTTATTGAAAATGTACACTACACCACACAACACAGCTCTAAAATAACTATTCGATATTACTAAACGCGGCATATTATTTAACAGAAATCTCGATTCATATTTATCAAAAGTGGCCCGTGGTTTATGGTAACTGCTGGTTTCGTTACGCTATTATGTCATTCACGTCAAACTCATAAATATGATAACAATTCAAAACATCATGTGGACTTTATCTCGTGTCAAAATAAAAAGCAAATAAACGAAACGGAACATTTTAGCGTAATTAAAATGCGTTGATAATGGATAGTTTTTGCGGCAATCATTTCTGTTTCTATGGGCATTAGTTTGAACGTGAAGTGGTGAGAACTGGAATTCTAACTGGAAAAAACATTTTCATCTTAACAAAAGATATAATTTCATATTGACTTCATTCTTAGAACTAGGAACATAAGAAGCCTTAATCCAATTCAGAACGCTTAAGTACGATGTTCAAAATCTGTTTTTCCGTTAATCAGCTGTCGCCCCCATACGAACGACAACTCCCAGAAGTTGAGAAACTTGTGCGAGCTAAGGACTAAGGAGGTCTTACCTTTTAACGTGTGATTCCTAACACGGTTGCAGAATCATCCCTGCTTCAACAAGATAAATTCTCTCGAGAAAGATATCTGGTCGAGGCGGGAATCGAACCCACGATCTTCCGATCGTGAGTCGGGCGCACTACCACCGCGGCCAATTCCAAGGTATAGCATTAAGGCCCTTCTTTTTCAACACATGTGATGGGCTGTTAAAAAAATAAGATGAATGTCGAAATTTCCAGGACCCCTATTTTAATGTCACTTTCCTTCACTTGTCGTGTTCCACCTTCTTTCCTTTCACCTTGTTGGTCAAGTCATTATCCTGGGCTTCTTGATCGATTTCTTCTCCAACGATGTCAATTACCGAAGGGAATTTTGTCTCTTGTCCTGTTGAACATCAATTCCCACGGTGATTTTCCAGTTGTTCTATGGAGAACTACATTATGCATCATGATAAATTATCTGATTTCACTTTTATAGCCTTGTATTTGTAACCTTTTTAGCGAGGATTTACTCATGTTTTCAACTTCTCCATTAGCTTGTGGCCAATATCGTGGTGTGTGTTCTAGCTGGAAATTGTTTCCTTCGCAAAACTCCTGGAATTCCTTACTAGAGAACTGTCTACCATTGTCTGCTCGAATAGACTTCAGGATTCCAAGTTGACAAAATAGTTCCTCTTGATGATTGATGGTGACAGTAGACGTTGTTGTTTTCAGAAACTTAACGCTTTGGTATCGTGAGAAATAATCAGTAACAACCAGAACTTTCTTGGTTCGGTAGCGGTCCCATGAGATCAATGGCCTGGTATTCCCAGGGACCTTTATGTGCCAGATTAAGTACCTGGGGCCTCTTTGACGCTGGTATAACAATTTTATTGTCCCATAGGAAAATTCGGGGCTCTGTTCGACAATTGAGAATACGTGGTGGTCACTTTCTTCATAGGTCGTCCCCATATTATATACCAGACACAGTCTTGAAGCAGAGTTCGCGATGTTTACCTTTCCTGCTCGGTAGATGATTTTAAATCTAAATGACTGTAGTCGTTGTACGCAGCATTCAATGCGAGCTGGAGGCTTCGATGTCGGTTTGAATATCGCTTCTAATGGTTTGTGGTCGGTCACTATTTCAAAATCTAGACCTGTTAAAAAATAACAGTGTTACATTCTTCTCCGTGGGTTGATCAATAATTGACTCCACTGAATAATCAAACTTAACTTTATTTCACTTTAAATACAACAAACACTTCAACTAAAACTTCAACTATCGTAATCGAATGCCGTAGTAATTTCGCCGAAGTTCCGTCGACATCGGTAGCATTATTCTCACTGCTTCTAGAGTGGTAGGGAACATCGTACATTCGCGCGACACCATTGGTTTATGGCATCAGTGGCGGCCGGCGTTATTTTCTTGTCGGGCATGATTTACAACAAAACAATAGAAGATATACCCTTGCTTGCAAATGAAACAACTGTTGGTATGTCGCATTCGAATTGGAGAAGCACTGCACCTGCTGCGAAAGGACAGGCATCCGCTATTAATCAGGTTCTCTTCAATGGATCGAAATAACTCAGAGTGGGAGGCCTCGTCAAATCTTTTTTGAGTTTTTCGAAATTATCATAATGCATGAGCCTGAGCATCGCACAGGAATTATTGAATGACGTCAACGACGATCCAAATTTGCTCAAATTGGTGACGAACCGTGGGTATATGGTTATGACATCGAAACCAAAGTCCAATCGTTCCAATAGAAGAGCCAAGTTCGATCAAACAAGGTTTTCATCAGTGTTTTCTTCGATTAGCGTGGCGTAGTGTATCAGGAGATCTTGCCACATGGCCGTACGGTAAACGATAATGTACCTTCCCACTCGACATTGATTGTTCGCATTTTTTTGCCAAAAACAACCATAGTCATGCCTCATCCACCATATTCACCAGATTTGGCCCCCTGTGACTTTTTCCAAGAATCAAAATACCCATGAACTTTTTTTGTTATCCATAACCAACAAAATAATGGTTTATCGTGATGGAATTTTATTTACTTTTTCAGCTCAGTACTTAAATGTTTGACGAAATATGTAAATATTCCGGTAATGAAGGATAATTTGATTGATAGATCGGTTGACACTGGATACACATGACAGTGAATTACAATTCAGTTGTGTACACATGTACATGTCGTTTGCAAACAATCACACTAGAGAGAATATGGAATTTTCAGGGAACTTACCCATTGAGGAGCGCGGGGTCTAGATGAGGCCTTAGATTTTCCAGATTTGGTTCATTTTTCCTTTGAGACTTTTGTTCCGAGTTAGGTATAGGTGGAAGACGATTTTACTGAAAAAAAAAACTATTTGTAAATACCTACTGTTATATAAATCTATACCTGTTTTACCAGAATGATTCATTTACCTAATTAGGATTTGTACTTACCTACTGTTATATAAATCTATACCTGTTTTAGGAGAATGAGTCATTTACCCAATTAGGCTGTGTATTTACCTGCTGTTATATAAATCTATACCTGGTTTACCAGAATGATTCATTTACCCAATTAGATTTTGTAATTACCTACTGTTATTTAAATCTATACCTGTTTTACCAGAATGATTCATATACCTAATTAGTGAATATTACTGGAGTTTTTTCCCAACACCAAATCGTTATTTTTACACCTCGACACGTGTTTCGATCACCAAGTGATCATCTTCAAGAGGAAGATAAAACACGTGTCGAGGTGTAAAAATAACGATTTCATATGGCGCTTATCTGGATTGAATTGAATTAGTATTCACTAAAATGAATAGGTTATATATTCAAAGAAGAACTCACCCTGGAGCCTTGAATATCCGAATCAGTTCGTCAGAATTCATACAGAAACTCCACTTCACAAATGTCATGTTTATTCATCGAAGAAGCGTGGATATTTTATCCAATTTAAATATAGGAACTGGTCGGGATTAAGAAAACATTGAAACTGCTTCATTTCGCAAAAATCAAACATTTTCGTACCCGGTACAGCGTAGTCCCGATATTCTCTTTGATCGACTTTTTCATCAAACAATTTCATGGGCCTGGATTATCCCGAAAATTCTATATTTATCTTTCCAAGGCCGAACATTATTAATATTGAGATCGATGATTTTGTGATTTTATTCAGAGTAATGAGAAGGTCTTGAGATATCAAACAATCGGGACAAGGCCTCTTTCACATTAAGATTGATGTTTCTTCAAAAATATCAGATCTGATATCGAAATACAAATTGTACTAATTTTTTAAATTGATGCATGTTAATCAGCTGCAGTTTTCCATGCGGACTAAGGAAAGTTTAATCTTCCTCTTGAAGATGATCACTTGGTGATCAAAACACGTGTCGAGGTGTTAAAATAACGGTTTGGTGATGAGTAGAACTCCAGTGATATTCTTTGTTAATAATTTTGTTGAAAAGTTGATAATGGTGATGTTGGTTTATTCACTATGAAACTAGTAATTGTAATTTCACTTGTTCCATCCACTTGAAACTTGGATCGCATGAGATTTCGTGAAGAAGTATTTGATTATCTCTTTCTCTGAACCCTCTAACACGTTAGAAGATGTTTTGTTTGTGTAGAACAAGAATTTCTTTGTAATTTAATATATTTTCTATTCCATATCACTTGTATATGTCAATATTGGTAATATTTTGTGCATCATTGTCAGTAGAAATTGTTAAATTTGTGCTTTAAACATTAATGTGAATCCAGCAACTACAGGGTATGTTTGAGGTCAGAGCTCCAAAGAAGGTAAAGTTTTCTGTTTCTGTTTCAAGCTTTTGAGAAGCAGCTTTTGCAATTGCAGCGACATGATTGTGCCAAGACATATTGGTGTCGATTTTAAACCCCAACAGATCCATCGCATGTCCCCATCAACGCGTTGATGGGGACATGCTACGCCAATAAACATATTGCTGCTGAAATTTTTAAATCTGAAAAGATGCATAAAGGTAGGTTCAATCCGGAATTGAAACTAGTGAAATCCATAAAAGAGAAATCGGCAGAATATAATTGTTTTTACGCGAGCTGATAAAGGCAAAACTGTCATAGCCATGAACAAAGAAGGATACGTGGAGAAGACTTTGGACTTTCTAAATGCTGGCATTCACGATAGTCTCAGAAACGACCCCACCCATTTATTTGAATGATTGACAGAAATCGTCTCGTTTCTAGGCCTCCTGTTCTTTGCTCTTGCGCATCCAAATTCAACTTCGACTATGAACCGTTTATCATTTTAAATCCTATTGCCAATGAAATGTATTTATAATTGTAATATCTATGATATTATAAACAAATACTCCACAAGAAAACATAAGTAAATAACATGTTTGAAATATCTTACCAATTTTCTTCACCATAAGGTTCACTCAATATGAAAGAACTGACTGTATAATTGGAAGAACAAGTAACAATATATTGTTCTCTTGACCGAGCTATCACTGTGTTTATTTACATTTTCACCCTCGATAATCTTTATTGGCCTATGGTGTATTCCTACAGTAGGATACGTGCCTTCTAGTTTAAAAGACATATATTTTAGGAAGCGCCTTTGTAGGGCTTCTATTGATTTATAT